TTTTATATACCAGCCTACCCTATATCTAGTAAGAACTAGAACATTCGCCAAAGTACATGATAGTTCTAGAAACGTTGCGTCACGGTAGTCATGTGACTCGCTGACGCAACAATACTTTAGGCTTTTAACCGTTAGGAAAGACGGTTTGTTTGATTGAATTTCGCTCAAAGCTACACCAGGGCTATCTGCGCTAGCCGTCTCTAATTTAGCAGTGTACGACTAGAGGGAAGGCAGCTAGTCCTCACCACCCACCGCCAACTCTTGGGCTACTCTTTTACCAATGAATAGTGGAATTGATCGTACATTATAACGCCCCCACGGCTGAAAGGGCGAGCAGATTGCGAGTCGAGCTCCCTAACCACCTGGCCATGCCGGGCCTGAATGAAAGACGGAAACACATAATATAAACCAAAAGTTATTAATGATTTCTAAATGTGAAAAATGTTTCAGTTTGAGTTGTTAAAAAAAGTGGTTTGCAAGTAAACGCTAAGAAGCTAACCCTTTAATTCGAGTAGTAGAGCACACGCCTGAGGTATGAGAGGCTCGAGTTCGTCTTTTTTTTTGTAGCAAAGCCACATCGGGCTGTCTGCTGTGTCCACCGAGGGGAATTTAACGTTGTAAATCCGAAGACTTACCACTGTCCCACCGGGAGACGTCTCGGGTTCGAATCTGAACCAAGAAAATAATAAAACTGCTATTATCACAGCAGTTAAAATTAAATGGTATGAGGAAGGTGAGAAAATTCATCGCAAGTCAGAGACAAGGTAAAAAGCGCTATAATCGTCATGACTACAGGGAGCATAAACAAACCATGATACTGTAAAATATTACGATGTAAACTTTTACATATATGACAGATACGAACAGTGATGACTTTCTTATCTTACGTTAAATTTAAGACCCGACTCCGCGAAAAACTCGGACCTGATATAGCGGAGTCTTTTTTTTTTTTTCATTTTATTTTGTAATTACTGATTTGACAACTGACTTACTTTTACACTTTCTATTGTAGTCCATATACATCGTAGGTACAGTGTATGCGGGTAATGGATCACAAAGACGACAAACATAGCAAATATAGAATGTTTCTTTCTTTCGTTTTTTGTGTTCATCACATATTCTGCCGATTACTACTGTTTCCATGATTCCTGGTATCCAATTCAGCCAAATTTTCAGTAAAATACCCTACGTTTTCGCGACCGCGGGTATTAAGAAAGGTGTTGAGTAAATAGTACAACACTTTTATTACCAATGAAGATATGCATATCCTCAAACTCCCTTAACACAACTTCCGCAGGTCGTTTTTTTTTTCTTCTAGAAATATTCTAAACATTTAATGAGTAACCGGACTTATTTTAAAAGCTCTCAATACTGGTGATGTCACGTATGTTGTTACTAAGGTGAGCATTTCGTTAATTGAACTTCTCGAAAAGCTACACGAGGGCTATCAGAGACAGCCACTCCTCATTTTAAAGTCATAGAGGGAAGCACCAGTCACTGTCAATATTTGGACGAACTCTTGTCAGATCGAATAATAGGAATTGTCCATTACTCCTATAACGCAAACACAGCCCCAAAGTTCGGGATCGAAGTTTTATTTTGACGGTAATGAAGCGCAAACTAAGGAATCTCAGAACCACATTTCGGTACATTAACCTCTTGTCTACTCTCGACACTAGTATTTCATGTTTCAAATGTAAGACGTAGAAGAATCTTGAAAACTTCTGACCAATAATTTTTCAAATGTTTGTAACGTTCTCATATGCTATTGATTAAGTTATTTGTCCAATTAAAAAAGATGTTGCAGTTAATATACATAAACATTATATACTAATACCACTACTGTAAAATATATATATATATATATATCGTAACCCTAAATATATGAGCGAATAAAGGAGGTTTCTTCAAACTAAACAGTCCAAGGCATTTGGTCGCATTGATTATAAATATGTATTTAAAGCCATTCAGATATACCTTTCTGGAGAATATTTTAAAGATTTTTCAGTTTATGTGAAAGTTATTATTTTTCCCCAGCTATTGCCATTTAAAAAAATAAAAGGTTTCACTTTCTATCTTTCTACATCTTTTTTCTTTTAATTTTACGATGGTTTCGTTCAGTATATATTTTCAAAAGGAAATCTACATTAATAAGGTAGGGTTTATAGTTGTGTTAGATATTTTATAGTTCTATTTAATATCTTTTTGTAAGGGTAGAGGTTGGGAGGTTAATTAGTATAATGTATATAGTTATAATAAAATCTGCTTACATCTGTAATGAACTGGTGATACTGTTTTTATGGTAAAATACACATTTCATAATATCTGTGAGAAAAACTGTCGTTACTTATGAAATAGGTCAGAACTTAAAGATATAGCTTAAAAGATGTTAGATACTTAAAACTACAACATAATGTGGTCGTAACTGGCCAGTTTTTAAATTTGGTGAAGGGTTACGATTCACTCTTAAGATCTTTGTTAATGGTGATTCCTGCAAATGATACGGATCGTAATATTTAAACCATTATTTGACAAAAGTTTGTATGTGGAGTATCCACTTATAACTGATGAACCGCTGAACCGATTGTCACCATACCTAGTATGTACCCTGTGGTCCCTAAGTCTTCTCCGTGCATTGAACGAGTACATCAGCCGATATCCAATATTATATCCTAATTTACTAAGAAAATAACTTGGATATGATTATTTGTAGATTTTACAGCTATGTGTCATGCTTTGTTGAGGTTAAAATAACAAAACATAGAAAAAAATTAAGGGTACACCTGCTGTTATTTCCTTGCTGAAAACACTTAAGCCTATTTAAAAATATTCAGCTCAGTACTCAATACTAATGATCTTCGTGCTAAAGAAAAGATACTGATTTTCTAGATACAACAGTGAATGAGGCTACTATCGCTTTTTCTTGCCTATGAAGCATAAAACATAAGGCAAAACATTTGACAGCAAAGGATCGTTTGGTCCTTCAGGGTTGTCCTTTCACACTCTTCTGTGAAAAAGGTAAAAATTCCCACCTTTTTTTTTTTACTTTGTAAAAAATCTTCAATTCCCCCTCTTAAACTCCTGGTAATGTGCTGGAACCCACTACTGCTGACGTTATCTCGTTCTGAAAGTCAAGTACTGTTAGAAAAACAACAATCAGAGCCTAGCCTGGCTTTTCCGGGTCTTAAACTTGTGTCCTCTTGTCCTGTTATCTTAAGAATATAGCACAGAGAAATCAAAAGCCTTTATCCTATCGATATCCAGTATAAACTTTTAAACTTCAATAAAATCACCTCTTACCCTTCTTTTCTCAAGAGAAAGTAAGCTAAGAGATCTTAACCTATCCCTATAAGATACCCTTTCCATCCCTAAAGTTATTCCAACAACCCTCCTCTAAACCTTTTCCAGCAAGTGACTTTTACAAGGGCGAGGGAACAAGACAGATTTACTGTTAGTAACCAGTTTTATTCGGGAAATAAGTGTTAAAACAAATCCTTCAATGCTACAAAAGAATAGTTGCAAGCTTATTCTGTAAGCCTAGAGGCAAGTATGTTCTTCTATATAATTTCATCTACCACCTTTGCGAGATTTATTTAGAAGTTTTTCTGTTACTTTTCTATGTTTCATC